TGTGTGTGTGTGTGTTTGTGTGTGTGTGTGTGAGAGACCCTGGAGCACAAAAGCAGTCTTAAGTCGCTGGGGTATATTTGTAGCAATAGCCAACAATACATTGTGTTGATCAAAATTATCAATTTTTCTTTTATACCAAAAATCATTAGGATATTAAGTAAAGATCATGTTCCATGAAGATATTTAGTAAATTTCCTACCGTAAATATATCAAAACTTAATTTTTGTTTAGTAATATGCATTGCTAAGAACTTCATTTGGACAACTTTAAAGATGATTTTCTCAATATTTAGATTTTTTTGCACCCTCAGATTCCAGATATTTAAATAGTTGTATCTCGGCCAAATATTGTCCTGTCCTAACAAACCATACATCAATGGAAAGCTTATTTATTCAGCTTAAATCTTAATTAAAACATTTTTTTTTAATGTAGGTAATAATTATATTTACTTAAAAACTACATTTTAATGGGCACCGTGCAAAACTGAGATTACGAGAGAAATTAGCGTTTGAATTAGTTTTCTAATTTTAAAAATGAATTTCACTCATCATTCTTCTTTTTCTTGCTTTACGGCGGATCGCAGACTTATAAGTGCATTACCGCCACCTATCTCTCAAACGGACCATTGACACGCTATCTACAATCTCCTGATTAACCTACCAACCCACACTCGAACACCCCTGATTCTTGTACCCGCTTAATTTTACTCATAGTTCTGTGACGCTGCTTTAAAACGATATGTATTGTTGAAAACGCTGTACAAATGAATGTGAACACAGCAGCGGGGCGATTTTATCAAACGGAATCGCGTTTGGTCCTTTGAGGCCGCCGTACGGAGCGAATACGGAAGTCGAAGCTGGCAGGATACAGTGCTGCATGTGAAGAACACGGTACTGAACGACAACACATTAACACTGAGACCCAATGGACCCGATAGCCAAATACATCTCGCAGAAAATCAGCAAGACGCGGTGGCGGCCAGTTTCCCCGGGTTTATTACAGCAGCCTGAAGTGTTCGCCACGGGGTCCTGGGACAACGAGGCAGGAGATGCTTTCACGTTACAACAGCACATCTCACACTCGTGTTCCGCTGTGAATTATCATTGGTGTTGTGTTTGCAGAATAACAGCGTGTCGGTGTGGTCGGTGGGAGAGCGTGGGGTGTGTAACACAGACGGAGAGTTAGATGAAGAGCCGCAGTTGCTGTGTGACTCTCAGCATGCCGGGGATGTGCTGGACCTGCAGGTGAGTGTGTGTGTGTGTGTGTGTGTGTGTGTGAGTGAGTGAGTGTGTGTGACCTGCAGGTGACTGAGTTGTGTGTGTGTGTGTGTGTGAGAGAGAGAGAGAGAGAGAGAGAGAGAGAGTGAGTGAGTGTGTGTGACCTGCAGGTGACTGAGTGTCAACAGCACTCGCTGTACTGCACTAGTGTTGGGCTAGTTACTCAAACACTCAATGCTGACTGATAGTGACATTCAAGTAGCAGTGTTGTATTAATCCCATTAGTTGTCATGTGTAGCTTGAAGCTAATTGTAATTTCTCCATTACCCATATACCATTATATTTCATTATGTATTTTATCAAATCACATAAGTTTGTAAGAAACTGTTTAGTTTTCCAAAAATATTTTAATTATAGTAATATAATGTAGCACATGCTGCTGATCAGAGGGATGTAATGCCAGAGTAAAGTACAGCCACAACTTACACAACAGTGTTCGGATCATCTTGTTTCCTGACAAAATCAATATAATGCAATATTTCTCTATCTGCTGAATGTAAGCTTTCCCATATTCCAAGCTGGAGGGCATCACATGCATCACGTGCGAGTCGTGGAAATTATGAAAATAAGGAATTATTTGATTGTTGGATTTTAAATCAGCGCGGTTGAGGCATCAAAAGTAGCTAAGCTGTTTTATGGAAGGTAACTAATATTATTACTAAAATCTTATTAGTAGTTCGTTACACTGCTAGTTACTGCAAAAAGTAATATTATTACAGTAACTAAGTTACTAGTAACTAGTTACTGCCCAACACTGGTCATGACATGCTAAAAACCTGATCCAAATAACTTTTTTTCTTTTCTACATTACATTCAGAAAGAATATGTAACGTGTACAGAAAACAACACTGGAGCAGCTGTATTAGCAGTGTTATAGTTGCATGTAACTAAATTACCTAATTTAGTCACAAAATAAATGTAATTGTAATCAGTTACTGAGAAAAATTGTGTAATTAAATTACAGTTACTTATGAAACTGTTATCGATTACAAAATGGGGTTACATCTGATTTGTTTTCCACACAGCCACATACAGATTTAATTAATTTTTTTCATAAACTGCAGTGACTGCTCTAAAATATGAGACCCCAATGTTTCAGGAGTTGGGACACGTGCTTATTCAATAACTATTTGGGTTTATGTATATGCGTAATTTTTTAAGATTAACTTTTTTTTTAAGGTATGTAACGATGAACCGCGAGCGGGTTGAAAATCGATTAAAATATGTGACGATTCAAATCGGTTGAGATGCCAAACATCTCAACGATGCAAATTAAAGTAGTGTTGGCAGCGGCTGCTTTGTTTACAGCGGTAACCCAGGAAACACTGCATCATTGCTGTTCATTAGCGCCACCTGCTGGCAGAGAGTGCATCTGCGTCTCGTTCAGCTCGTCTGCTGTTCAGATGTGTTTTATGTAGTATAGTTTCACACAGGGGCCAGAAATGTTCGATAACGATAGAAAAAATGTTCAATATAGCGCACGATATAGGCACGTGCTATAAGTGACGCAGACAGCACACACAAACACATGCTGAAATGAGTGCTGTGCCTGCCTGTGATGAGGAGATTGTGAATAAAAATGAATATTAGTCGAATTTAAAATAAACATTTGCATTTGAATGCAAAAATAGTACAATCAAATGTTATGTGTGCATCAGGGAGCGTCATCAGTGGTGCATGAGATGCGGTGATGATGATGTGAGTGACGTTGTTGCATTTTAATGTTTTATAAGTCTAGCCCACGAGATGCGCAGTTGCTGCGTTATTCATTCAAAATATTAGAGAAATATAGTAGCTCAATGCCTATGAGATCTTGGTTAGGTTAAAACTAGGGCTGCACGATAAATCGCATGCGATATTTAACGCGCATTTTATGAGTAAAGCCGGTTCTGTAATCAGCGGTAAATCTCCATCACCTGCGTGCTTTCACATTGAGCAGCATTTACTACACAGTATCATAGCTATTAAACTATATCTGGTTTTGGTTTTTAATCTGTATTTAACCTCAGAACGATCTCAAAGTAAAAAGTGGTGCTAAAGTCTGATTTTGTGGTGGCTGTGCTTTAACATTAAATTATTATAATCTTAATTTGAAAGTGACAGTAATCAGTGTTGATGAATACTACTGTAAGGTTAACCCCGCCTGGCTTACATGTTTGAAAATGATTAATAATTGAAAACATTAGAAATTTAGGGAAGTAATCCGTTACATTAATAAAGTAATAGTTACACTACTTATTACATTTTAGATAGGGTAACTTGTAATCTGTAACATATTACATTTCCAAAGTAACCTTCTCAACACTGTGTATTAGTCACAACATGTTTTGCAAATCCATTTTCTAATACAAAATAAATATGTAAAATATTTGTATTTAGAAAAAAAGATGTCTTAATAGAAGTAGTCACTACTTGGGCCACATGTTTGGAAAATTATATTTAAACCCACTGTATTTCAAATAGGAGCTAAAACTAATAATACCATTGCTTCAGAACTAATAAATGTTTGGTCCGAGTCAGAGAAGAGAATGAGGTCTTTAATTTTGAACTAGTTTGATTTGAATAAAAACCATCGTTTGCACAATCTGTGTAGTTTCTAGATCAAGACCGGCTCGTTTCTGCATCTTCAAGCGGGGCTGTGACGATCTTTAAGCTTCAGCCTGACTGTCAGGTATGTGCTTTGTTTGTTTGTCTGATAAATGTCATTATGCACAGCACATCTGACCATTGTGACTGGCGTTTAGGCTCTGTCGCTGGCTCATGTGTGGGAGAGGGCTCATGGATATTCCTGTGATAATGCACCCTGCACTGCAGTAGTGTGCAGAAGCCCTGAACTAGTGTCAGTGGGTGAGGACGGCCGAGTTATTCTTTACAAGGCAGATCAGACTGAAGTTGTCCGTGTTATTGGTAAGTGTTTTCTGGCTTTCTTTGTAGCATAGACACAGATCTCGTATATGAACGGTTTGATATGAAATCATAGTTCTGTTATAATTTACCCTCCTGTCATGTTCCAAACCTATGTGACTTATTTCTATCCATGGAACACAAAAGATGACGTTTTCCGTACAATGGAAGATCTGGATGGTGACCAGTTGCTTGCTAGTTCCAAAACAGTACCATATGACTTCCAGGTCTGAAGAATATCATAGGTTTGAATGCGGAGCAACAGACCTTCTCTTTTCTCCTTCCCATCAAGGTTATATGTAAATGATGAATTCTGTTCCTCACACAAAGCTGTGGTATGGATTCAGCAGACGTAGACCATAGAGCAGCAGTCATGGACTTGTGTTATGGTGCTTTTTGAAGCTTTACTGATTTAATATTCATTCCTTCTCTCAATGGACGAAAGCTTTGAGGTTCTGCTGAATTGTGTTTCACTCAAAAAAGCAAATCGTACATCTTTGGAATGATATGAGACCGATCAAGACAGAATTTTCATTTTGGGGTTAACCCATTCTTTAATTACATTTGACCTGTAATGCATATTAATAGGACTGTGTTATTGCCTTTCAACAGAAAACGCAGATAGCAGTACGATTCATGCCGTGACGTTTCTGAGGACGACTGAGGTCCTCACTGTTAACTCCATCGGCCAGCTGAAGATCTGGGACTTCAGACAGCAGAGTGACAGTCCTGCGCAAATTCTCTCTCTGTATGATTCACTCCTACTAGTTTAAGAACCATAATTAGCATTGGATTCATTTGAATCTCCAGAAAGCTGAAGAACATGTCCGTTCACACCAGAATCAAAAAAATCATATTTTGCATGAAAAAAAAAGTGTCTTTTCTAGGACCATTGTGACTTTTTCATTATTTTCCAAATCCTCATTACAGTTCTTAATATTCTCAAGATCCACTTTAACAAATTGCTGTTTACCTGTTCAAATAAACACATTATTGATAGATTTTTTTTCTGCCAGTGTTTTAACATCTTAAGATAAGAAATTACTTTATTTGCCAGCATTTTGAGTCCTTTTGACATTCATCTCAATATCAAAAATGGGTCTGAATTCTCTCTATCTAGAACATATGTGACCCTGGAGCACAAAACCAGTCATAAGGGTCCATTTTTCGAAATTGAGATTTATACATCATCTGAAAGCTGAATAAATACGCTTTCCATTGATGTATGGTTTGTTATGATGGGACAATATTTGGTCGAGATACAACTATTTGAAAATCTGGAATTTGAGGGTGCAAAAATATCTAAATATTGAGAAAATCATCTTTAAAGTTGTCCAAATTAAGTTCTTAGCAATGCATATTACTAATCAAAAATTAAGTTGTTGGCTATTGCTACAAATATACCCCAGCGACTTAAGACTGCTTTTGTGCTCCAGGGTCACATATAAAAGTTGGATCGTAACGTGTTTTCTCACATTTTCTCTACTCATGCAGCACTGGGGACAGAGTGCCCTTGCACTGTGTGGAGTGTCTCTCACACAAACATAGGCCTACCTGAAGACACCCAGTAAAAGCACCAAATTCTGCCAATCAGCCATAAAATATTAACCGTTTCATCCTTGCTAGTGTTGTCAAAAAACCCGGTATTTCGGTACCAAGTCGGTACTAAAAAAATGAAAACGTTACAGTACCAGGTTTTCTGAAGTACCGGTGGTACCGAGTACCCGGTCAACCCGGTTCTTGATGCGCTATCAGAAAGCTATCCTCTTCCAGTGTTGCCAAGTCCGCAGATTTCCCGCGGAATTGGGCTGCTTAACACTGTTGTCGTGGGTTGTTTTTCATGTCCGCAGGTTGAAAAACGACCCAACTAACTTGATATTTAGCCCCTGAAAAGAGAAAGGAAAAATTGAAATCGCATCATATGACCCCTTTAAAAAAATGCTTGAGCTGTGTAAACACTTGTAATAGACGTTAAGAATAATGTTCAAATGTTTTGACCTCACAATGTTTAAAAGGATGGTTCACCCAGAAATGACAATGCTTTTATAATTTACTCACCTTTAAGTTTTTCCAAACCTGTGTGAGCTTCTTTCTTCTGTTGAGCACAAAAGAAGCTAGTTTGATTTTTTTTTTTTTTTATAGAAGTAGGGAAATAAAAATATTATGGAAGTCAGAGGCTACCATCAACTGTTTAGTTACCAACATTCTTCAGAATATCTTCCTTTGTGTTCAGAAGAAGAAAGAAATTCATACAGGTTTGGAAAAACCTTGAGGGTGAGCAAATGATGACAGAATTATCCTTTGAATTCAGTAGATTTTTAACAAATAAATATGCTTTGACTCTCATATTTCCACTGTTGTTAAAAACTCCTTCCACCTCCGTAATATTGCACTTTATTGATCTTCTCTCACTCTAAACACTGGCAAGAAAGTTAACAGGTATTGCAGTATTCATGAATGAGGCCAGTTTAAATTAGCAATTTATTATTAATACATTTATATATTTATTATATCATAATAAGGACAAAAAAATGAACAATGTTATCCTATGCACATGAAATATGTCAAATCTTAAATGTCAAAAACCTGATAATTAGTCAGAAGCTTTTGCCACTGATTCTGATCTTTTTTCTCCACAGTGTGGGAAGTACATTTTCATCCATCAAACCCCAATCACTTATTTACATGCTCGGAGGATGGATCTCTGCTCCACTGGGAGACGACGTCAGGATCAGACATGAGCACACTCCTACAGAGTAAGCCAAGGCTCCATCACAACTATAATAATACTAATAACAATCTGATTTTTATCTTGAAAGTTTTTATCGTTCCGATTACTATCTGATTTAGTATGCGCATTGCATTTGTACTTGACCATGTAAATGTGTCTCTGCAAAACAATAAAAGGTACACACTTGTTACACATGTTACATGTACTTACTATTATAATAACAGTAAATTATGCATAATTACATGCAAGTAACCCTAATCCTAACCCTAACCATATAGTAAGAACATGTAGTTAATTATTATTACTCAGTACTTAAATGTATAATTACACTGTAACAAGGACACCTTAAAATAAAGTGTAATCCAAATAAAATATACTATTCCCATTTATGATGGAGTTGCTACATCCACATCTCATTCATGATTGTGACAAATTTCCACATGCTGATGTAGATCCATTTGAAAAGTAGGAAAGTTACCATATTTAACAACCAGATGCATTTAAAATCGTGTCATGCTCTTCACCAAGCACTTACACAGATACACACGAGAGCGTTTGAAAGTCACGTCTATCAGCGGATCCATCAGCGGATCCCTAATATGGGTAACACTTTATTTTAAGGTGTCCTTATTACACAGGTTACATACTATTATAATAGCAATATATTATGCATAATTACATGCAAGTAACCCTAAGCCAAACCCTAATCCTAACTCTACCCATATAGTACATGTAGTTAATTATTATTACTCAGTACTTAAATGTATAATTACACTGTAACAAGGACACCTTAAAATAAAGTGTAATCCAAATAAAATATACTATTCCCATTTATGATGGAGTTGCTACATCCACATCTCATTCATGATTGTGACAAATTTCCACATGCTGATGTAGATCCATTTGAAAAGTAGGAAAGTTACCATATTTAACAACCAGATGCATTTAAACCTGGCCAAGTCATGTCTTCTATGCCATGTACACACTGCAGCTAAATTTGGTTGTCAGTTGACCTTTTAGTGCTTAATCCTGCACACAAACAGTTAAGTAATTTACGGGAGTGACAACTGCATTTGCAGAAAGCCTGTGCAGTGTGTATGGAGCCAAACTAAGCAATTAGTTGTTAATGACGTATCTAAATGAGTAGCATAATTGTCTCTCTTCTGTATGCACAGTGCAAGAAATCTCAGTAAACAAGGTATGTTTTGACTCATTTGTGTTGCCAGATCTTGGTATAAAAGGCACAAGCTCATAATAAATATAAATCTAAACGCGTCATCTTGGAAATAAGCCACATACCAAAATATTGCAACCTGCACCTTCCTACTTTATTAACTCCATAAACTGGATCGCTTTATGAGTTGAGACCAAACAACAAGCCCGAAGATGTGTAACAAATGTTGCTGATAGTAAGTGGACATGGCAACACTTAATGAGCACACTCTGCAGAGCAACATTCTAAACCTTAACAAAACACAACGGCTCGGTCTACTGTGGATTAGTTCAAAAATCGGCAAACATAATAGGCTTCTTTGGTCAAAAATAGCGGGTACTATATGTTGCTATGGTGTCAGTCATCACAATTTTGAGTTCTGTTTTGTACACACACAAAACTATCATTTAGGGGATTCACTCCTGTATTTTAATGCGGTTGTCACTCCTGAAACTTTACAGTGTGTACATGGCCAGGGATTTAAAGTACTGTAAACATGTCTTCTGCCCACTTTATCTATTTTCATTCGCACCCTTTCCCATGTTTCTTGTGATCACAGGTGTCTTTTTTAAGATTAGGTTTGGTCAAGGCAAAAGTAGTACTTCTGAAGGTGCATAAAGCTGCCGTTTCATCAAAGCTTTTGTTCCTTTGTTTGTTTTTCTCATATTTCACACAATGAACTTTCTAGTATTCAGTCCTGAAGTTGTATAACACTTATGCATAAGAAGTAAAGCTAAATAGGTTGGTCTGAGCTAGATATGGGCTACTAAAGCTACTATGACTATGAAGGTTTAATTCTAGTCAATATACGCAGACTTGACTCATTTTATTATCTTCATCTCATTTTCTGATACCTGGTTTGTTTCAGGGGGCTGGAACAGCAGGGTCGTCTCGCATAGTGGCGTACCGCTGGCAGAGGAGAATGACTCTGTGGTCAGCGCCTGGCTTGCTGGGGACTCCAGCAAAAATAGACTGGAGGCAACTCATATGCTGCCCAGCCAGACACTGTCTGTCAACAGCCTCGATGTGCTTGAGCAGTGTTTAGTGTGCGGGACTGATGGAGAGGCCGTGTACGTCCACAGACAACTTCCTGTTTGATTGCTGACGCAAAATATGAATGAAAGAGATTGCTTGGAATCTTTTTATATACTAAAGTTATTTGTTCAGTTGTTAGAAACTGCACAAGATTGAGTTAAGTCATCAAAATGGCAATATGTACAGCCTTTCTGTGTCATATAAGTTCTGTTGAAGTACTCTGGATACAGTGATTGGGACCGTAATAAAAGTTTATCATGCGTCTCTCAGAATTAATTGACCTGTAAGTGGTGTTTTGTAAAGCCAATTTTTATTGGTTGTTAAACCTGTTGCATGGGCTTCATGTAGCTACGATGCTTGAACAAATGAATCAGGTGAGTCAATCATTCAGGGACCCATTCATAAACACCGTAAAGAATTTACCAGAGTAAAGTTTACAAGAGACTGTAAATTTTACTACCTTTTGCAATTTAATATATCTATGTCATGTGAAGTGGAATAATGTGTGAGAGAAAAATACATTTTTCATATGCTTTAAACTAAACCATTGCTGCTGCTGTCATATGTGCATTCATGCGTACAAGCTCAACAAAAAAACTTAAAGGGGTGGTTCATTGTGATTTCACTTTTAACGTTAGTGTGTAATGTTGCTGTTTGAGCATAAACGATATCTGCAAACTTACGAAGCTGAAAGTTCAATGCAAATGGAGATATCGTCTTTTAACATTCTGGCAGTTTAATGCCTACAAAAACGGCTGGTAGGGACTACAACGAGTTACTTCCCGGGTTCGTGACATCACAAACCCAGATAAACCCCACCCTCGGGAAAAGGCAGCAAAGGGGGCGAGGCCATGCTGCGCTGCTTTAGAGAAGAGGAAGAGAAAACTAGGGGTGCACGTAAAAATCTATTCATAGATGAATCACGATTCTGTCTTCTAACGATTCTAATGGATTCACAAGTTTCAAAATCAATGTTCTAAAGCAGCGGTTCTTAATACTGTTCCTCGCAGGGGCTTCATAAAAACAGGAAAAGATCAGCCCGTTTCTCAGAGAAGGGACAGAGCGGTGTGGAATAAAGGTCAATTATGTGAAAAAATTATGTTTTGTTTTTTTTTAAACGAAGCATTAACACGTTAGACTGCACCCCATAAACACAATCAAGCCTAGAAAAAAAACCACCCCTTTAATATAAGCATGTTGTAAAATTCAAAGACAGAATCACAGATCACGTCTCGTCTGTGTTTCACAACACACTTTCATCACACTTCACAGCGTGCTCTTGTGTATGTTGAGTGTAAGCTCATGAACATATGACACTTGGCAAGAAGTTTATAGTTTAACCCCTTCAGACCTGATTTTTTTCTGCTGAGCAAAAAAAAATTTTCCCAGTTGATTTTTACTCCCTTCCAGCAGACTAACAAGTTGATTGAGCAGGTCAACACCTCCCATTGCTTCATTGTACAGCTTGATCACCTCCGGACGGGACACCTTCAAAAATGTTCCCTGCTTTTTATCCCACCGCTGCACTTCATCCATTGTGCCGACACCAACAAAGTTGGAGGTCATGACGACTGATCTGCTGTCAAACCATTTGACCAGTGCGACCTTACCATCACGGCTTACAGCTTCATCGCAGCTTCCTCGCGGCATTTTTGCCATCACTTTGTCAGACTGTAAAGGAGGGTTGGCAAAGCGACAGACCCTTGCTGTTCCAGCGGCATGAATTTTCTTCTCAGCCAACAGCTCCAGAAGATTGTACGTCGTGAAATAATTGTCAAAATACAACTTGTGGTCGGCCTCTGTAATGCGCTGGCTGAGATGGTACACCACTCCAGCTCCAAGTCCTAGCTGCGTCTTAAACTGCTCTGACACTTCCATTGTAGCTCCTTGGTGCAGCAGGAAATCATAGGCCATGCCACTTTTCCCACACAGGAAGTATATTTTCACCCCCCAAGGGTGTGGCTTGCCTTTTACGTATTGCTTGACAGAGAGAGATCCACGAAATGGCACCATTTGTTCATCAACACAAAGGTTTTCCTCTAGTGGAAGCTCCAAGCATCTTCTGCGCATGGCATCATAGAGAGGACGTACCTTATAAAACACATCATTGTTCTCTGCCAGCCTCTCCAAATTGTTGACCAAATGCAAATGTGACCGAAGCTGGAAGAATCTGTGACGGCACATGGTGTTTCGAAAAATACCAATGTCCTTCCCGGCTTCCCAGTACATGGAGACTCTTGGCATTTTCATCACGCCCATAGCAAGGTGGAGACCAATGAGGGTTCTGATTTCCCCTGAACTGGTGGGTTTGAAACCTAGTGTGCCACTTTGCATGGCATAGATGTTGGTGCTGTCAGACATCAGATCGAAGAGCGCATCTGGTACATACTGTTTGAAGTATTCGTATGGGCTCATGGGATGTCTGTCATAAATCAGATGATTCTGAAAGGAAGTATCGATGATTGTGGTGAATGGCCTATGGCGCCACTTAATCTCATGCTTCCTGGTTATTGTCATCTGCTCATGATCATCTTCCTCTCTGTTCACTGTAATCTCCTCCTGATCCTCTGTCACTACACTTTCTTCTACCTCAACCTCAGCTGCCACCTCAAGTTCTTCAAGCATGCATGCATCTCCACTGTCCCTTATCTCTGTCCCTCGTCCTATCCAATAACAAAACAATCACATCTATAACTCTTTTTCCATGTTCTCACTCGTGACCTCATATGCATTTTCTGCAATTTACATATTATATAAGGCATAACACTTTGTACTATACTCTCAACATCTACACTTACTCTCGTTTTCATCTGCCTCATTTCCTGAATCCAAGCAGTCAAGATCGGATAACTCTCCATTTACAAGGTGTTCAAGGAAGTCTATGACTTTATACTCTAAAGGAAGATTGTGTGAAAAACAGGTTATATACATAAAATAAATCAATTGTGAAGTCATAGTTTAGCTATGAAATGCTTATAGGTATTTTGTTTCTTTGCATGAAATAACTGCATGCTGGCTAATATCTCTTCACTCCTGATGTCCATTGGGATGGATATTAAACTTTGAAAAAATCCTATAACTTAATGAAATGAAATATTTTCAAAATAACTTGAAATATTAACACTTGAAATTGTTAAAATTAT